AGAGCGCATGGCTTTTAACCATGTGGTCGTGGGTTCGATTCCCACAGACGGCGGTTTAAGTATTTTTTTTTTTCAATTTTGTTTGAGGATATCTTTTATGGTAAGGGTCCATTTTTCGAAATAGAAAAAATTTAACAATTAATGAGAAGATCCTAAATTGTCTCCTCCCAACTAAAAAAAGTTCCAACCTTGAGTCTTGAGTATTTTTTTTATTTTTTAAAATTTGTTTAAGAATGCCATTTATCGTAAGGGTCCATTTTTCAAAATAGAACATATTTAACAGTCAATGAGAAAAAGGCCCATTAATTCTATAAATTATCTCCTCCCAACTAAAAAAAAGGTTTCCTACCTTGAGTCTTGAGTTCTTTTTTTGCCATTCCTTCCTCCACCCTCAGTTTCCTCCATCAGTGACGTGGTCAGCTTGCTTCAATGGCCTTTCTTTTAATAGCCAAGAATGCTTTGCTCTTTTTTCTCTCTCAAATCTGGAAATAAATTTGTCTTTCCTTCACTTTTTCTTTTGGGTATTTTTCATAAAGTTAAAACTTTTTTAATTTTTAAAGATGTAGATATGTTGTTAAAATCATCCTACAAGTGATTATATGACTTTTTAGTTGTTTGGTTAGTTGACTTCATTTTCTTCAAATGCGGTATTCTCTGCTTCTTTTTGCTAGGTTTTTATGTTGCTTGTTCATGTTTTTTTGTCCTTGATCTTTTTTTATGATTTTTAGCAATTGCTTAATGGTTGTTTTCTCTTTATGATTTTGTGATTGCTCTTTAGTGGGACGTTTCCTGTTGGTTCTTAGGTTTTTTTCTCTTGATTAGGAGTCTTTCTAATTATTCTGTTGGTTGTTCTCACCAACAATCTATGTTTGCTAGTTTTGGTTGTTCTTTTTTTTTGCAAGTGATTGTTAAATAAGGATTGTTTGTTTTCTATTTCGTGTTGCTTGCTTTTTATTATGGAATTGGTAGGTGAAAGTGACCAAAAATGAAGCTGAAAGTGAGGTCTATAGCAACTCTGCACGAGGCAGCTTGAAGCAGAAAAACATGGAAACAGAAGCTGCAGCGCCACAGTGTCAATCCCCCAGTGCTGCAGTGTTGCCAAACTCCCATCCCAGCAGCTGCAGCGCTGCAGCGCCAATCCCTTAGTGCTGCAGCATTGCCAAAACTTCCCCTCCAGCATCTACAGCACTGCAGAGCCAATCCCCCAACTCTGCAACACTGCCAAACTCCCATCCTAGCAGCTGTAGCGTTGCAGTGCCAATTTCCCAGTGCTGCAGCGCTGCCAAAACTCCCCCTCCAGCACCTACAACTAGACTTGTCAATATGGGCCTAGCCCATTGGGCTGGCTCATTTTTAATTAAAAATAAGATGGGTTGGGTCATAAAATTTTAACCCATATTAAAACCGAGCCTAAATGGGCTAGCCCGCGTGGGTTAGGGGCTAACCCGAGTTGGTGGGGGCCAGCCCGACGGGCCAAAAGAAAAAAAAACTTTAGTCTTTAGTGTTTAGTCTGGCTAGCACTAGCGCACGGCGCACCGCACACATCTCTTTAGTCTTTAGTCTTTACTCTCTCTACTCTAGTCGAATCTACTTTCTCAAATCCCCATCCT